CGAAACTTATGAATAAAGTCTTTATCAAAACTATGCAACAGATTAATGTTCCAAATAGTAATCAATCTTAAGTATTGTCTATTAAATTCTTCTATTAATGTAATAAATGAATAGTTTTTTGCATCATAAATTTCAACATGTTGTAAGCATGTATATATTTTACTCTTCGGACTTTTAGATTTTAAAAAAAATTTTGTTTGCCTTCTTTATACGACAAGAAAAAACAACATCCAATCATGTTTGAACATTTAATTCATGTTAATACTTGGTTTCCTAGATATGAAGTTGAACTTGCTGAAAGAACACATTATCATGTTTTTGTAATTTTTAATAATAATTCATTAACTTCTATTAAATTATTTAATTCACATAGAGTGAAAAACGAAGTAATACAACATCATCTATTCAACAAATCAAACAAGAAAAAGTTGAACCGCTACCAAAACAAAAAGAACAGGTCAGATTTTCTTCTTCGAATGACAAAGAAAAAAAAATCAGCATAACACTTAGTCTTTATTTAACTAACTAACTCTTTCATAGATAACTATATCCTCTTGCTTCTATTATGTGAATCTGTGATTTCTGTTTATTCGTACATACCTTGTTTAACCTATGGAGTCCATCATCTATATTATGTACATATAATGTTATAAACTTCTCATCAATCTTGCAAGTCAGTTTCAGTGAATAAATTCGTGATGTCAGAAAACTAATTAACGAAACTGATACGGCTACTGAACAAAATCTAGCAAATGTTGAAGCAACATCTAAAAATATTTTACAAATACTCGATGATCTTAAACGACATGTTGGTCAGCTTGAATTAAAGAAACGGACGACTACTGGGATTAGATATCATATAGAAACAAAAGAAAAATCATAGCTTTTTTCCTTCCTTAGAGAAAAACATTTTTCTTTGTTTCTTCAGTAGTAATGCTAACAGTAAAAATCTTATTTGTTTTAGAAACCAGCTGAACCTCAGCGAGCTCCTAATACTAGTGATGATGATATTGATTTATTTGGTTCTGATGATGAAGAACAAAGTGGAGAAACAAAAAAACTTTTGCCTGATGGTGCAGCACAAAATGCAAAGAGTAAAATAAAAATTTTCTTTGTTAATTGATTGAAATTTATTTTTTGCTTTTTAGAAGAGGAACAAATTGCTGCCAAAAGTATAATTGTATTAGATGTTAAACCTTGGGATGATGAAACTGATCTTGAAACTATGGAAAAATCAGTAAGATCAATTGAAGCCGATGGTCTTGTATGGGGACAATGTTAGTATAGGATTTGTTTGAATTTTATTTTTTATTTTTATTTATCTTTAGCTAAACTTGTACCAGTTGCTTATGGTCTTAAAAAATTACAAATTGGTTGCGTTGTTGAAGATGATAAAGTAAATTATGTTTATTGTTTATTAAATATTCTTTTTTTTTCTTTGTGTGTTTAGATCGGAACTGATTTTCTTGAAGAAAAAATTTGTGAATTGGAAGATTATGTTCAATCGGTTGATATTGTCATATTCAATAAATATACATGAATGATTCGTATTCTTCTTCTCGTGTTGGCAACTGAGAATATGTTCATTCGAAAGTTCTTTTTGAAAAAAAACTAAATAACAAAAATAACATCGGCATTATTATCGCAAATTTTCATTGAGGGTGGGGTGTGGGTGTGTGCTTTGATATTGAGTTTAACAACACACCCCAACTTGCGCCCACACCCACAGCCATACTCGCACCATCTGCAACATTGAGATGTTTCTATCGTGGTAACTATAACAAAGCCAGACACACTTTACATGGCTATATTCATTCACTGCAAAAGATGGCTTCGCGTAAGCTGTGTAAAAATCATCAGCTATTTGTCGCATATCTGATTAGCTCTCTCTCAATATTTGGCTTAAATAGACTTTTTTTATTCGATGAAGAAAAAAAACAAACACCAAAATAGTAGTACTGACACTTTCTTAATAATACTTTATTTCACTCTCAGTGTCATTAAGGGATAAGAATTGATTTGAAGGGTGTGGGGGTGGGGTGTGGATGTGGGAGGTGTGGATGTGGGAGGTGTGGGTGTGGGTGTGGGTGGGTGGGTGTGGAGTGTGGGAGGGGTGGAGGTGTGGGTGTGGGTGGGTGGGGGTGGGGGTGGCTGTGACTGTGACTGTGGCTGCGGACCTTCTCTTCACCCACGTACCCACACTCACACCCACACCCACACTCTCCACCCACACCCTCAAGTATAAGGTAATGATAGGCATCTACAAGTTTTAGAGATTCAATAAGACAAATAAAAGCACTTATTCTTGCTGAAAATGTCATTATCTAAACATTTTTTATCTATTTATTTCAGTTTGAATAACTCCAAAGAAAATTGAATCTTTCTAGGAAAGCTTAGCAATAAAACAAGCGTACAGTAAAATGAGCTTTGTAACGATATCATGCATTAACTTTGTTAGGTAAGTATTATATTGGTCTGTAAGAAAGCGTCTTTTCGCTTTCAAAATAGTTCATTGATTTTATTGTGAATTGTTTAATGCAAGCATTTTATAATAAATACCACGTCGCTGTAACAATTCTGTATGAGCGCCACTTTCTACTATACATCCTCTATCAAGTACACAAATCAAATCACATGAACGAATAGTTGAAAGACGATGAGCAATAATGAGTGATGTTCGGTTAGGATCTTCTGTTTGGGCTTCTTCAAGAGCTTCTTGTACAATCTATAATTGAACGAGAAAAATGAAGCTTGAATTAATAAATAGGAAAACAAATGGACTTGTTCATTGTGTGAATCCATGGCACTTGTAGCTTCATCTAACAATAATACTTTAGGTCGCCGGAGAAGAACTCGAGCAATAGCGATACGCTGTTTTTCACCACCTGACAGAAAGCTTCCTTTCAATCCTACTTTTGTTTCATAACCCTAATGAACAATATCAAACAATATTAATCGATACATTGTATAGTTTTCTATCATTTAACCTGAGGCAATTGTTCAATAAAGTGATGAATATTAGCTTTCTTTGCCGCATAAATAATGTCTTCCATGGGAGCATTTTCTAAGCCATATGCTATATTTTCAGCAATTGTTAAATCAAATAATATTGGTTCTTGGCAAACAAGACCAAACTGAGATCGAACCGACTGAACGTTTAGTTGTCGAATATCAATACCACCAAGAAGCTAGATTCAGTGGACGAATTCTACATACTTGCTAGTATTAAAAGATGATAGTATACTAACTACTTGACCACTTGTAACATCATAGAATCGTTCCAACAGTTGAATTATTGTTGATTTTCCACATCCAGATGCGCCTGTACATGTCATATTATGTAATATACATAAAATCAAATATTCAATTCAAACATACCAACAAGAGCTACCCGTTGACCTTTGCAGAGAACAGGAATTTAAAAAAGAATGAATAAAATGAAACTTATCTCACTTACTTGGCTTGATAGCTAATTGAAATTTGTTAAGAATATAGGATGTTGGCCGAGTTGGATATATAAATTTAACTTGATTAAATGTTATTTCTCCATGAAAATCAACCTATAGAAATCATGTTGTATCCATAATATGCATATGATTCAAAGCAAATAATTGTCGTCTATGTTCTCTTACTAATTCTTTTCCTTCTGTTGAGGTATTGTCGATATCTGGTTTTCGATCAAACAAATTAAAAAATGATTCAGCAGCTGAGACTGATGCAGCAATACGGTTAGATCTAGAATAAAAACAATACAAGAAAAGAAACAGTGAAGTACGGTTTGACCGTGTTACATCATTGCGATGAGTTTTAGTGCTTGAGTGGAAAAAGTAGAAAAAGCAAAGGCCCTAATCAATAGAAAAAAATAATGGTATGTTATCTTTAGATTAACAAAGAATGAATTCAGTTACAATATAATATGATTCGCACTAAGTTCGTTCTTTTCAAAAAGAACAAGAGCACACCAGTACACAAATGCCATAGTGTATATATCAAGTGTCCAGAAAAAACTATGTGTCATTGAAGATAGTACTAGTGATTTCCAAGACCATCTATGACAAAACAAGATTGATTAAATATTTATATATCTCCCTGGCGGAAATAAGTGGTACACCTCCTTTTTTGACATTTAGTTATCCAAAATGTGAAATTTATATCTCATATTTATACCATAAGCACTATGTGACATTGCCTAACTGTGCATCATATAATGGGTCTTGAACTGCAACAATTTATTAAAGAAAAATGAAATATGTTTTATGTATTATTGTGTGTGTGTAAAGGAAGCTCTTTCCATGTTCATCTTTTTTTACTTTTTTGTCTGCTATCCAGTCATATTATTGAACGTATGACAGGAGCGACATCTTTAACTGTTATTTTACAAGAATATATTGAATAAAATACATGTAATATTTGCTTAAACTAGAAATAATATCAATGGAAAGCAGACAAAAAATAAAAAAGATGAACATGGAAAGAGTTTCCTTCATACACACATAATAGCACAAAGAACATATTTCATTTTTCTTTAATAAAATGTTGCAGTTCAAGACCCAATATATGATGCACAGTTAGGCATTGTTACATAGTACTTATGGTACAAATATGAGATATAAATTCCACTTTTTAGATAACTAAATGTCAAAAAGTAGGTGTACCACTTATTTTCGCCAGGGGGATTTATATATCTTATATATGTAAGATTCGATTGACTAACATAAATAATGGACGCATGAGTTCAGAATATTGTCGTGAGACTTCTTGTTCCATTGACAACTGCTTTACTGTACGCATATTGTGAATAACTTCAACAGCAAGCTACACAGATACAAGAAACAATAGATATAATATACTTCGGACATACCAAAAGTAGTGGTAGTAACATTTTAATATCGTATAGTGAGCTTTAAGAAACTTTCCTCGTATATAGTCTGTTAGAGAAACGAATGCTCTATATCTATGTTCTGTTTAATGATACTTCAACTAATATCATAATAATAAACTTTCGATAAGGTTTGTTTCGTTATGATATGTGCTTGATAATACTACTAGCTATTTAGCAGATAGTTTTTGAATAGCTTTTCATGGAAATAAAGAACTGTGATTTGCATCGCTTCATAGGAGGAGATACAGATGCATCGAAACAGGAATTATACGTTTCCATATTATATGGTCCAATGTTTGTTTAATCAGTTTTCTAAAAGTGGGAAAATGATTTCTCATACAAAAAGAATCATTACTTCTAAATGATTAACTCTAAACCTTGTACAGTTTTGTAGCTCTTCCATGAGGGATTTCAATGCACACTTGACCTTTGAAAATTCACAGTAAACACTTCACGAGTAGATTTGTTTTCAAAGAGGTCGATTGAAAACATTTAAAAATTTCATGTCAAGAAAACTTATAAAATACCACTTGATCTATCTTCAGTTTTCCCTTCGATCAATGAAAACTGTAGCTCTTTATTTTATTTCTGTGAAACGTTACTCAAAACATATCTGCTAAATAGCTACCAGTATTATCAGGCACATATCATAGCGAAACTAGTCTTATCGAAAGTTTATTATCATGATACTAGTTGAAGTATAATCAAATAGCATAGAAAAATAGAGCATTCGTTTCTCTATCAGACTATATAGAAAGAACAATTTGTAAGACTTACTATACCACATTAAAATGTCCCTCTCACTGATTTTTGTATGCTTGAAGTACATAATTTACAAATAATTTATGATAAGATAATTTTCCCTACAGACCTAAGACTATCAGCTAAAACTTGATCTTACTGTGCTTGCTTGTCTGATAATATGATCAGATTGTTGGTCCATTGATAAACGTAAGCATACTTGTCCATAGGAGACTATGCATAAAATAACAAAAGAGCAAAAGACTATCAATGTTAATTGCCAACTTATGAAGCATCCAAAGAGAATTCCAAAAATCCACAATGCAAGAATTTCACAGACAACTCCTAATCGAGTATCAGTCATTTCTTGAACTGCTGCTGCATCTGAAGAAAGACGAGTAGAAATTGCACCAGAACTATTCTCGGGTCGATCAAAATAAGCAACTTCCTGACGAAGAAGACATGCAAAGGCTTTGGAACGAATACGTTGCGTTAATTTCGATCCTGCTATAGCAAAAGCTGTATACTATAAAAAAAAACAGTGAAAAAATTATTGATCGATTTCACAAACAATATTTTCACTTGAAAGACACGAAGAATCAATACAAAAACACCCAAAAGCGAAAACGAAAAGCTGGCAATTAATACTTGATGACGTCGCTCAGAATTTGAACAATATTTGAATGCCTACACAACAAACAAATCAACAAAAAACGATATATTTTGTCAATCTTCTTCCACAATATTCCTAAGGATGGATAACTTACCTCGATCATTTTGGTAAGTAAAAATGCAAACAATGATTGAGCTGCTCCATTAAGTATACACGCTATGCAACCAATCAAGATACTAATCCATTCAGGACTATTCATTGACAAGAGTCTTAAAAAGGCAAATCTTTGCTGAGGTAACTTTGAACTTTGCTACAAAAACGAGATTTTCAACAATATGTTTTTAATATATAAATTGTTATAGGATTTGTACTTTGTTTATATCAATCATTTCACTATCACTGAGTAAATAAGAGCGTTCCACTATTAAAGAAATAAACAGTAAAAACTATTACTATTAGAATATTAATATACTTATTGATTTTTCATCTTCTTCTCTTGCTTTTTGTATGCTCATCATCTCATCTTGATCATCATAGATGCTTTCTATTTGTTGACGTTTGATCATTGCTTGATATTTGCCTCTTTCTATTCCCATCAATGTTTCATGTGTACCTTGTTCAATGATACTTCCATTATCTAATACATAGATTTGTTGAGCATTTCGAATTGTAGTTAAGCGATGAGCAATAACAATAGTTGTACGACCTATCTAGGATTATGTATGCATATGATAAATAAAAAAGATAATTGTTGTTACCTTTGCATGCTCGATCGAGTGCTTCTTGGACAAGTTTTTCGCTAACGTTGTCGAGTGCACTTGTTGCTTCATCTAATAAAAGCAATGTAGGCTGTTTAACAAGAGCACGAGCTAATGCAATACGTTGTTTTTCACCACCACTCAACTGTATACCACGTTCACCAACAAGTGTTTCATACTTCTAAACAAGAAATAATGATATATATATTTATATATGTCATAAGATAAAAATGAATATTTGTCACAAACATTTGGTAATTTCATGATGAAATTATGTGCATTTGCTTCTCGTGCTGCTTGTTCAATTTCTTCTCGTGTTGCATTTATTTTACCGAAACGAATATTTTCATAAATATTCGTGCCAAACAAAATCTATCACAATAGGGAATTTAACAAACAGACAGAAACAAAAAACAAGAGAGAAAACATACGGGTTCTTGACTGACGACTCCGATGCTTCGTCGAAGTTGTTTGATATTGTAGTCTGTTATTGATCGACCATCGATTGTTATTCGACCTGATGAAGGTTCATAGTAACGAAGAAGCAGTGACATACATGTACTTTTTCCTATGAATAAATTGCGAACATAAATGAGGTCATTTAACGTTTTTATTTCTCAAATGACTGACCACAACCACTTGTACCTATGAGTGCAGTCGTTTGGCCAGCACGAGCAATAAGAGAGAGATGACGTAGAGCTGATGCATCTGTTCGAGATGGATAGGTAAAATTAACATTATCAAATTCAATATCACCATTGATATCATAAAAAGACACCGTATCCCCTGTGCATAAATCTATTTCATTCATACTAGTGTCTTTTCCCTATAGCATATGAATAAATAAAGCACTATACTATTGATATGGTTATCAATTCATTCGGAGTTACCTCATCAATAAGTCGAAACACTGATGCTGCTGCAATTCGAGCTTCTGAAAATGACTGGAAAAAAGGACCAATATAACAAAAAATACTCAAGCAATCTGCGAAGACGAATATAACCTGCATTAAGATAATAATCGTATACTGATTTACGTAATGAATGATTATAGAAATCACTCACTAGAAGTAAATTGCTAATATTCGAACCATGTTGAACTTCGCTTGACATAAAAAGAGAACCAAAAATAAAACCAACAGCATATACTAGGTAGGTAATCAGAAATAGCCAACCATTAAAAAATCCAAACGCTACACCTTTGCGTATACTACTCCATCGAGTACAATGCAACTCCTTTTCATATCTAAAGATAATCAATCGAACAATATATATGATGACATCGAACAGTCCACTATTTTTATGTGCTTTTTTACCGCTTTCCCTCAAATTTGCTACCATTGAGAGAGAGAACTGTCCGCAGTGAACTAAATACTTCTTGAACGATTTTTTCTGCTTTTGAGTATGCCATTAACTCATTCATGGTTTCATTAGTGATGAGCTATAACATTTCATAGATATTTCATTGACTAAACAATATTTAATACCTTAGAAAATAAAAATAGGCTAATAGTAACTAAAAGTATCAAACATAGCATGATCAATGCCAAACGCCAATTGACAATAAAAGATATTATAAAACAACCAATGATATTAAATAGCATTAGTATGAATGCTAAAAATTCCAAACCGATGCCTTTATCAATCTTGGCAATGTTGCTAAACGAGAATTGAAGTATATGAGACTATTTGAAATAAAATATCCCCAACAGCATACTCAAATAGTTGTGCATTGAGTTGACTAGTCTGTCTAGTATCCATATAGGAAATATTCTAAAAATAGAGAGAAAACTAGCCAGAGATAGAGGAATTACACCGAGTACTACTTCATATTCATCCATTCCCCCAAAGTTGACTCCATTTATATGTCCTAAATTTCAATGTAAAAGCAACTTCACGCTTTTTAAAATCCTACTGCTACTCTAGTTATAACACTATGTTCTACCTGATCGTAGCATGGATGGAGATGTGAATATATCCTTGTTAAATTTCAATGACTTTTGTTTATGAAAACTTGGTGGAGTTAATCAGTTTTAGTACGTCTAGTTTCGGGAGATTTCGGTAGGTCGCAAGAGTTTTTGAAAAATTGTGCTCCTGAATTTTGTCTTGAGAATATCTCTATTGTAATAATTCATATACAGTCCCTTGTATGGGGAGAGTATCAGAGTTTGTAGACTTCATCTTGTTGGGATAGGAGTTCTCCAGGAATAGATGCTTTTGGAAGCGTATCAAAAAATATAAAAATATTCGGAAAAGACCCTATAGTGGAGATGCGAAGTCTGCAACAAAAATTGAAACAACTATGCAAATTATCCGTCGAATCAGGTTCGATTTCGACTTCATTCATGCGAGCTACTGTATGTAAGACCTTTGAATGCATATAGTTTCAAAATGACAATTCAAAGATACTACTTTTCCAAAAAGCTACAGGAAATTCCCTCGAAAACTGCTAATCGATGTGATCACTGTATAAAATCTCAAAACGATTATATATGTTTCAACTGCTAAAAAAGCTTGTGGCATATGGATGATAACGAGGTTATTGTACATTAGTATTGTTGCTATAAATCCTTACTTTTAGACCTAACAGTTCTAGATATATAGACATCTCGTAGTATGTAAATATATAATTTTCAACTGGACGCATTAGCTGATTTCTTAGGTTTTCTAGAATCGTCCATGTGCCGATAGTGAATAGTGAGGATTTGTTAAAAAGAAAGAGCATAAAGAGTTATTAATTTATTGAAATGTTCAGAAAAGAGTAGATTATATTGTGAAACCGAGTCTTTGTGCATGAAAATGTATTTGACTTACACGTTGAACAAGTGATTGAAAGAGAGAAATATTCATACGGAATATCTGTTGTTTCGTACTGATAGTCCAAATGATGTTTAAAATCGAGCCAGTCATATAATCAACACTGGCAATAACTACATAGACAAAGAAAGCAATATCTATTATTCATTATGATCAAAGTGTTTAGTTATTTTTACTCACTGAGTAACCAGTAGACTATGCTCATTATATTTTCATGAAATGAAGTTACTGATGTAGCTAAGGTTGATGACAAAATCACATCACTGTACTGATGCAGTCTAAAACGAAAAAGTTGTTAGTAGGATCTATATGGCAACGATCTTTGATAGTATATGTATGTCTATCACAGGCTGTTAGGGTAGTAGAAGCCTATAACTCTACCCTATATATCTCAAGACTCCATTCAGACCACGTTTCACGAAATTGCGAAAGAAATATTTAAAAATACACATATGAACTGACAGTAGTTTTAATGAATTACTTATGTGTTGCAGCATCGTTGAATAAATTGGGATCGATGCCTTGAGGATATGTATTGTTTCTCTTAATTGAATTTATTGAGTTCTGTGATTGTTGATCACAATCGTCATTAAATGATTGCATAGCAAATAATTCTATGAGCCAAGCATAAAGAACTAGTATCAAGAGAGTGCAAATCTCTTGCAACACTAATAACCACATAGAAATGAACATAACAACAAAATCGAAGCGATTTGCAAACCGAAACTACAATATAATGGAATACATCGATCAGCTTATGTTTCGTCTAAATATACTTACTAAACCAAAAACACCAACTGCTTCATCTTTGCCACTATGTTCAGTATCGTCACTTAATGTTATATATTTATTATCGTTCTCTTGTCGACTGAAGTATCGGCGCCAATTAAAATAACTATGAAAAAATGATAAATTGATTGTATCTTTGTCGAAATTTGCCATTTATTAAATCATACCTATCGGTCAAAAGTGTTGTCTTTTTCCGATTATCATCATCACCATCATCACCAATAGATAATTTACTAGATCTGTTTAAAAGAGGTTGTCTATCATTCATCTTTTTCAAGCATACCGCGCTGAAAAATATCAAAAATAAGTAAGTACAAATATCTTCGCAGGCTGTGATTCGAAATAATTCCGTGACTACTCTGCATTCATTTTCGCTTTTTCCTAATTTCTTTAACCAAAAGGAATATATAGGCAATACATTATTCAATAAATACGACTACTATACTTCTTGTTCGAAGTATTGAGTTTTATTATGAGTTTTAAAGAAAAAAGTCACGTGAAAAGGTGACACAAATGTATAAATATCAGCTTGATGATATACCCGTTTATATGTACTATCGTAAAAACTAAAATTCAGTCCAACTCATGCGTTACCTACCCAACGTTGAAGCCGTAATCTCCTCCAATATAATCTCAGTCAAAATCATTATTTGAATTTTGTCTGGACACAATGAAAATTTCCTTTAATGAGCAAGAAATTTGACATGATTTTATTCTCTTGTTTTGTTTTACTTTATTTTGAGTTTAAGTCAACTTCAATTTAATTTAATTTAATTTGATATTAATAGTTTATTAAATTGAAAAATTATGACGTTTCGTATTTCGATGAAATAATTCATCAGACATTAAAATTAAGGCAAACGACGTGTAAATAAATACTATAAGAACAAACAAACCATTCTCTTTTTCTTTTCTTTAATATTAGTCATACTTTTGATAATCATAAGGAAAAGAATTCTATCCTTATCTAGCTCTTACTATTTTCGTCTTGTTTTTCGTATCACTATCAAAAATATGACTAAAAGCAAAGAAAAGAAAAAGAAAATGCTTTGTTTGTTCTTATCGCATTTATTTACACATCATTTATCTTAATTTTAATGCCTAATGAAGTGTCTCATCGACATGCGAAACGTCGCAATTTATAAATTTAAATAAACTATTAATATCAAATAAAAATTAAATTGAATTGAATTGTGTTTATATTAAAAAAAAGTAAAATAAAAAAAGAGACTAAGATTATGTCAAATATGAATTCAAACTTCTTATCGAAACATAAATGAACAGGATATGGTAAAGAAAGCGAAACCGTTTAAATACCAACAAATTATTTTTATTTCACTAAATTTATTGAAAACAATCAAATGAAAGTATATCGCCACTAAAGAACTCGCTCTCATTCAAGCTTACCCATGCTCCAGACTCACACACACTCCCGAGTCACTAACGTTCACATCCTTGAGTTCCTCATACTTCACTCTTTCACATCTCAATGCTCACACTTTTATTTATCAAGATTTTACTTTTCAATTACATCAAAAAATGGTTTCGATATCGTCGAGTCAAAATTGAAAATTTAACATAGACTAGATTTACATCGAATTAAATTAAAATTTCAACGTTGCCTAGACAAAAATTAAACTTCTATTTTCTGTAGACCAATTTCTAATTTGATTGAATTCTAATTGGACATGCAACCTATATGCATGTAACTGGTGAGTCAGAATAGATAGAAACACTTTGTATTTTATTAAACAAAAATTTCCCAAGATGCATCTTAAAACACTTATTTCATACGTGCATCTTTAGTTCTTAAATAGACAAAATTTTCTGTGACTGAATTTCTATGCTGCAAAAAAGTTACTTTTTTGGTGTGCGACAAGTGCCTTTTGTGATTTCTTCGGTTGTGAATCCTATCGAACGCAGACTACTTGATATGCGCTCCGATTAGTTTTTTTATTCAGCCTAACGTTATTTTTTAGAGGGATACATGAAATTTATATTAAAAAAAACGCATCTATATCAGTATGTTAGTTAGTAAAAGGAAGTGAAATCAAAAGATCCATGCCAAGTGATTCTGTGCATATTTCTTAATGGTATATAACATCTTTTCAAATTATTAAACAAGTACAAAACACAATTGATGGAATCATGGTGAAAATGATTATTCATCAATTGATGAAGTAGCAAAGGAATTCGACGTGTTCTCATCTCAGATCGATAGTTTCAGCAACTGGACACTGCAGAAAAGATGCGGGTAAATCATCGTATCCTGCAGAAAGAACAGACAGTGGCTAGAATTCACTGGAAAAAAGTCCGAAAATTTTCCGGTCGGCATATTGCTTTCATGTGTCGGCGATTTCTGATGTTTTTCTGCGGGAACCGGCCCGTACTTCTGGGCCTGAGATAAAAGAATTACTTTTTCGAAACTTCGAAATAGAATCACCTAGAATCTCGTCTATGCTGAAAGCTAAAGGTGCATATATAAAATCAGATTTGTATAGTAGATTGTAGAGATTGTCATGTTGCAAGTTGCTATACATTTTCATTACAAAAAGACCGTATTTGATGATGAAAAATATAACACAAAACGTGACCAAGTTTATCCAAAGGCTTTTATTTAATAATAAGCCAAAAGTGCAACGAGATAAAACTGAAAATCAACGTTGTCCACGGCTTGATACTTCAAAATCTGTCTACTTTCCATAAACTAGGAATAATATTTTACATTGATTTTATTTGAATTAAGTTTAACTTTGTTTGTAGGTCATAAAAAAAAGTAATAAAGATAACTTGTGTTGCTTCTACTCATTTCAAACTTTTATCATAAAGTGGCACATTAGCTTCGGAACCCATTAGATTTCCTATTAGTGTTACGTGTGCGTAGATATAGGTGTCAGTCTTATTTCTACCGACACCCACATCCCGATACGCAGTTCTAAAACGAAGAGTAATCAACACTGTATATAGCAATAGTTGATTCTCTATATTTATAAAACAATACTTTATGAAAATGAAGAGATGAACAGTTCGAAAATGATTGCATACGAGACACCTGAACGTAATTGAGTATAATATGAGCAAGGGGGTATTCTTGACCTATGATCAGCGGCATGAAGGATATTTTATCTTCCACTAAATATCCTCTACTCGCTTGTTCTTTGCCAAAAGAGCCTGTTCGTCATATACTCCCCTGAAAGCGAGTATTCCAAAGAAATCTAGTGTCCGGTTTTATCAAAAAAATCAGTTTCAACTTGAAACCATTATAGGCTCTTTGCTCCTACCTGATGTGTATGCTTGATGCGCAGAGAAGAAAACTACAGACGATGTGACCACTTGTCAAAATAAGAGAAAAGTTTCTTTTAAAATTGAAATATATTAATTATAACATAATTTTAACTGTAACTTTTTCATCAATGGTGAAATCAGTGCAAGAACAATATCTAATATCACACACCTAATGTCTATGCTATAGAAACTTTTGCATTGCTTGTTCGACAGAGAAAAAATTGATGGGCTCTTGAATGATTTTTTTTTCGTTCCAGTATAATTAGCATGATGATGTCAAAACGAATAAAACTAATGAAGAGGTGAATGCAAAGTAATTTAATGGTACTTTTTTAAAATTGAAATATATTAATTATAACATAATTTTAACTGTAACTTTTTCATCAATGGTGGAATCAGTACAAGAACGATATATAATATCATACATCTAATGTCTATGCTTTAGAAACTTTTGCATTGCTTGTTCGACAGAGAAAAATTGATGGGCTCTCGAATGATTTTTTTTCGTTCCTGTTTAATTAGCATGCTCATGTCAAAACAAATAAAACTAATGAAGAGGTGAGTGCAAAGTAATTCAATAGTACTTTTTTAAAATTGAAATATATTAATTATAACATAATTTTAACTGTAACTTATTCATCAATGGTGAAATCAGTTCAAGAACGACATCTCATATAATACATCTAATATCTATGCTATAGAAACTTTTGCATTGCTTGTTCGACAGAGATAAAAATGATAGGCTCTCGAATGATTTTTTTCGTTCCTGTTTAATTAGCATGCTCATATCAAAACAAATAAAACTAATGAAGAGGTGAATGCTAAGTAATTTAATGATATTTTTTAAAATTGAAATATATTAATTATAACATAATTTTAATTGTAACTTTTTCTTCGATGGTGAAATCAGTGCAAGAACGAAATCTAATATAACACACTTAATGTTTATGCTATAGAAATTTTGGCACCGCTTGTTCAACAGAGAAGAAAGTGATGGACTCTCGAATAACGTTTTTCTTTCCTATTTGATTAGTGTGATGAACGTAAAATGAATAAAACTCATGACGATGTGAGTGGTAAGCAACTTGAGCGAGCAACAGACGAGTAAAAATATTACTCATTTTTCTAGTCATGAATAGACGTGCTGTCTAGTATTTTTCTCCCAAATGTCTCGCACATGATTAGTCGGAACTTGTTTGGAGTTTTTAGCCCTGCTCTTGACCACGTAAGTGACTGGCATCATTATATTTGTTACGTTAAATCCTTGAACCGTATATGATCAAGTTTAACATTTCAATACCATTTTACGACAGTATTTAACAATCAGTAAAATTTTCAAGCTTTGACATCATTAAAAGATATTTTTTATAAAATCCATGAGTATTTTTTATTTTAATAAGTCCAAATAAGATTAATTGAGAATTTTTTTATTTTTTCCAAATTTTTTTTTTTCATCATTAAAATTTAGTAAAAATCATTTTGTCTTTGAAAAACAATTATAATTTTGAAAATGTAAAAAATACAAAATAAAAGCAAT